ATCAATTATTGACAACAGGGAACAAGCTACCATGACTTGTTTGGGACAAGCATCAGTGGTGAAACGGATGTCTACCCAAAGTGTTCAGTAGGATGGTGAAGCCTGTCATCTCTAGGAGCTCACACTCATACCTTAGCCCTGTTAGGGGACCTCAGGTGGCACTTTACCCCTCAGGGTGTTGGCTCTTAGGATTAGAGGGTACTGACTTTTGGGCTAGTAGAGGTACATTTTCAAGGTTATTGGACTTAGAGTTCCCTAAGTCCATCCAAGTCGCTATTAAACTAGATTCCTAGGAGTCAAGCCCTTCAGGATCATTTTTGGTGGATGTGGAGAGGATAATGGATTGAGCACTTACTGTGTGACAGAACTCAAATAGTACCTCAGAGCCCTTGTGATTGTATCCATAAAAAAGACTGCAGTAGAGATTTCTACTTTAGTCATGATGGTATGTTAGGGATCAGTCATCCTCCCACTTGAAATAACCAGAAAAACTAGATAAAATACACGAAACGGTGTTTAATAGGCAGTTTCAGTTTGGGATGACAGATAAGTTCTAGTGATGGCCAATGGTGATGGTTGCTAAATACTGTGAATGTACTTATTCGCACTGAATTGTACACCTTCAAATGGTTAAAATGCTAAACTTTATTTTATGTATATCTTTATTTTTTTAAAGATTTATTTATTTATGCATACAAGAGCTGGGGTACAGGCCAGAGATGCGGGGGTGAGAGGATTCACCAGAGACAGAGTGGGGAGCAGAACAGGCAGATTGACTGGAATACACTGCTGAGGGGAGCAGTGGGCAAGTCAGGAGAGGTCTGCTGCACCATGTGGGTTGCTCCCTGGCCGGCCGGGGGATCGAACTCATGCTGTAGTGGCTTACGGATTGCTTCATAGTGCTATGCTTAACCCCTTGCGCCACCAGGGAGGCCCTATGTATATCTTTTTAAAAAAGATTTATTTATGCATACAAGAGCTGGGGTACAGGCCAGAGATGTGGGGGGTGAGAGGATTCACCAGAGACAGAGTGGGGAACAGAACAGGCAGACTGACTGAAATACACTGCTGAGGGGAGTAGTGGGCGAAACAGGAGAGGCCTGCTTCGCCATGTGGGTTGCTCTCTGGCCGGCTGGGGATTGAACTCGTGCTGCAGAGGCTGTGGATTGCTTCACAGTACATATGTAAAAGTAAAAAGGAATTACAACCATAATATTAAGGCTGGGAAGGGAGAAATGGAAGTATACTACTGTAAGGTTCTTGCATTACATGCTAAATAGTATAATATCACATGATAGTAGACTGTGATAAATTAGAGATATATAACCTAAAGTAACCATTAAAAGGGCAAACCAAAAAACTTATAGCTAATAAGCCAATTAAGGAGATTAAAGTGCAAAGAATGCGTGATTCACCCTAATGAAGGCAAAAAAAGTGTAAATTAAGTGTACATTTCTCTCCCTGTTCCCAACCATGGGGTAGATGCAGAATAAGCATACAGTTGGTCTGGCTCAATGAAGAGGATGAGCCCAGGAAAAATGCTGTCTTTGTAAAAAAGTTTGGAAATTACTGCATTCTAGTAACTTCAAAGACTGTTGATTTTGAGATCTGTGACACTGCTAAAACTCCCAGTTTCCAGAAAAGATCATAAATAAATTTTAACAACCCTTTGTTTTCCTCAATGCATAGACAATGTCAGATAGATACATTAACTACAGCTACACCCAGATTTTCTTTGTAGAAACCCTTGAAATGTTTCATGTGACCTCCTTTCAAACTGTATATAATCCATGTTGAGAACCTCAGAATTAAGTTAGCTATTTCAGAGCTACCTGCAGGATATTCCATTAGTCTCAAGTCTTTAATAAACTCACTCACTTTTACTTGTCTCAATTTACTTAAACTGACAATAGGAGAAAGGAAACAACAGATGGAACAAATAGGAAACAAGTGGCAAGACTACAGATTACTAGGCAAATCAGTATCACATTAATTGTAAATGTCTAAATACTCCATTTAAAATGCAGAGATTATAAGACTGTCTTAAAAAAGCAAGATCAAGTTATATGCTACCTATAAGAAACACAGTTTAAATTTGAAACTACATATAGGCTAAGAGTAAAGGGAGAGAAAATGATATTCTATGCTAACATTAGTTCAAAAAAAGGTAGGCTTGGCTATATTAACGTCAGGTAAAGTAGATTTTGGAACAAAGACTATTAGGGATAAATTCATCGAAAGGACAGTATGCATCTAACAGAGTTTCAAAATACATAGAGCAAAAACAACTTCAACAAGAAATATAAAAACCTGTAATAATAGCCAGAGTTCAATACTCCTCAATCACTGATAAAAAAAAAAAGTAGGCAGAAAATCAACAGGAATATCATAGACCTGAACAACTAACTCTACCTAATAATATTTAAAGAACATCTTTTTAAGAATAGCAGAATACTTTTTATTTTCAAGGGTATATGGAACACTTACCAAGACAGACCATATTTTATAGGCTGCAAAACAAGTCTCAATAAATTCAAAAGGATTTAAGCCATACAAAGTTTTTACTAACTATAGAATTAAATTAGAAATCAGTAACAGAAAGACTGTTGAAAAAACCTCCCACAATACTTGGAAACTAAATAACATGTTCCTAAATAACACATGAATTTAAAAAAAAAAGGAAATTAGAAAGTATCTGAACTGAATAATAATGAAGACATAACACATCAGAATTTCTGGGATTGTTGCTAAAGCACTAAATAGCTGTATAAGAGGTAAGAAATGATCTCAAACAAGGACCTCAGCTTCTAAAATAGAGCAAATTAAGGACAGCTATCTACTCTCCCCATTTGGCACAGCATTGGAGGTTATAGTCTGTGCAATAAAGCAAGAAAAATAAATAGAAGGCACCCAGATTTGATAGGAAGAAGTAAAACTGTCTTTATTCATAAACATGATCATCCATATAGAAGTCTGATGGGATCTAAAAAAAAAAAAGCTATTAGAATAAGCAAATTTGGCAGGTTTTAGGATATAAAGTCTATATATATGTAACTTTTTTTTATACATCAATAATAGAAAAAATAGAAATACACCATTTATAACAGCATAAAAAATATGAAATACTTGGGAATAAATCTGACCAAAAGATTGAAGACCTATATACAAAACACTATAAACTATTGTTCAGAGAATATAAAACTCTATATGAAAGGAAATATAACTTGGGTCAGAATTCTCAACATTGTTAACACGGTATCAATATAAAAATGGATCAATGGAATGGAAATTCCAGAAAGAAATACACACATATATGGACAACTGATTTGTCAAAGGTACAAAGGCAAAGGAGAAAGGATAAGTTTTTCAACAAATGGTACTGAACTGGACATCCATGTGTGAAAAATGAATCTGGATTCATACTTTACACCATGCTACAGTTACTTAAAATGGATCATAGAGCTAAATGTAAAACTTAAAACTATAAATTTCTAAAAGAAAGCATAGGACAAAAATCATTGTGACCTTAGATGTGATACCAAAACCAAAATCCATAAAAGAACAAACTTGATCAAAACTGAACTTGTTTAAAAATTTCTGCTCTTCAAAAGATACTCTTAAGAAATGAAAACACAAGCCAAAGACTGGGAGAAAAATCTTAAAGTATGTATCTGATAAGGGACTTGAATGCATAATATATAAAGAATTCTCAAAACAATAAAAAAGTCAACTCAAAATTGAGCAAAAGCTCTGACCACACACATCACCAAACAAGATATATAGATGCCAGATAAGCACATGAAAAGATGCTGAACCTGTCAATAGGGAAATGTAAATTAACAATCAGATATTATGTACCTGTTCAAATGACTAAAATCAAAAAAGATTAATCACACCAGTGTCACAACATGGTGGAACTGGAACTCTCATATGCTGATGGAAATGTAAGACACAATTACTTTGGAAAAGAGCTTGGCCATTTAGTTTAAACATACACCCCTGGGGTAGGCAACCCATAACAGTATCTATCCTCTATTAATCTCTCTTGGAATCCAAAATGTGCAAACAGTAATCCAAGCTGGGCCCACCAGAAACCTTTCCTGCAATTTATCTATACTGAATATACTAAAGTAGGGAAGGAAATGCCTTTTTCTACTGCATTTTCCAAACTTGCTAATGTAAGCCTAGAGTTACCTGTGCCTTGCTGTCCCTGACTCTTCCATAACGAAGAAGGTTGACAACAGGACACAATGGGCCATAAGATGCACAGCGGAGAAACGGGGAGTCCTGGGTCTATCCAGACCTGAAGCTAAATTACTCGTTTCCTTAATGACTTAGAAACCAATCAATTCCCCTTGGGGCTTAATCCAGTTTGACCTGTTTCTACTGCTTGCAATCAAAGAAGTCTTCATGTGAAATGAATTAGTAATATATTGGGAATATAAAACCAGGTCTTGGGCCTCCCTAGTAGTGCAGGCAGTTGAGCGCAGCGCTGTGAAGCTGTCCACAGCCTCTGCAGTGCTGGTTCGAGCCCCACTGGCCGTGGAAATACCCACATGGCAGGGCAGACCTCTCTGTCTCACTCACTGCTCCCATCAGCAGTGTATTTCTGTCTGTCTGCCTGTTCTGTTCCCCACTCTGTCTCTGGTGAATCCTCACCCTCCTGCACATCTGGCCTGTACCCCGGTTCTTGTATAAAAATAAATAAATCTTTAAAAAAACACAAAAAACAACCAGGTTTCACAGCTACCAAAGTTCACACTTGTCTGATGTTTCTGGCTTGTGGGACCAGAGGAGCAAATGCTTACGATTCAGTCTGGAGGGATTAAGCAGATGGAAGTGGTGGTGCATTTGCACCAGGTAGGGGAACAGCAGTGGTCTGAGTCTTAAAAGTCTGACACAAGATAGAGCTTGGATGGAAATCACTCAACTCATCCCATTTGGGGAAACTGTCTCACTTCAGACCCCTAACCCTTGCAGGATTCAAGAGACATGACAACAGGACAATGGCATATTTATTTACAATTGGATCAAAAAAAGGCATACAGGCATTTTTTAATTAAAAATAATAATGATGATAATTAAAAAATTCAGAAAAAATTGACAATGTTCAAACCCTTAATGAGGAATCCAAATCCCCACTCCCCCTCCCCTCAAAAGAGAATCTCTTAGGGGAAAAAATGCAAGATCGGAATGAACAAGACTGTCATCATTCTTTACTGCTTGCGTTCCCTTTCTCTAACCTGATTCTTGGTGGATGCTGCTGGGCACTGCGGCATCACTGTGAGGCAAGGTTCAGAAGTTCACTGGTTTGATTGTGGAGGTGGGGAGGGGCAGCTGGGAGAGTATGGGGGTTGAAGGGCAGGGTATGTTCCTAGCTTAACCAGCATCCTGAGCGTTATCTTATGGGGGTCCCAAGGGGGCTGCAGTAGGGGTGAGTGGCTGTTACTTAAACTCTAATCCCATGGTGGGCTTGGTCTCTTGCAACTTAAGAGCATTTGCTCTATGACATGCATGGGGCGGGTGGGGGTTGTTAAAAGTGGGCATTTATGGAGGAGCCAGGTCTGCCCCATTAGCTCCCTCTAACCTGGGAAGACCAGACTCCTTGCCTATTCCTGGGAATTGGGGAATGATAGAACTTACCTTCCATCTTCCTTCTCACAAGTAGTTTTCTGGTGTCCTCAAAAGAAGGCAAGATCTTAAGACGGAAGGTGGAGGGGACAGGTCTGACTAAAAGACCTGAGAATGGGCACGGAGGTGGGTGATGTCAGGGAAAGAATAACTCTTCCCAGTCACGTAAAGGTGGGGAGCTGAGGTATCCAGGCCTTGCTCTGCCCTGGAAATTGAAGAGGAGAGGGTCTGCCGCAGCACAACTTGCAAAGAGCAGCGACCTCCTGAGGAAAAGGTTGGGGAGCAATCCTGAGGGGTGAGGAACCTCATCTCAGACGTGTGGATGCCTGGCTCTGGAAATACTTGGCCCCAGGTCCAGGGTTTCTTGGCACAAAAACAGTTCACTGCATGTCTCTTCTCTAGCCCAGCCAACTCCTGCTGCTCTGAGCAAGGGCTCCTGCTGTCCTGGGGCACTTGGCCCCCAGTATTTCTAGGGGATTTCCTTGTAGCAACCAAGACGTGGGCTTGCTCCTGGTGAGAAGATGACCTGGAGGCCTGGCTGGAAGCCCTGCCTTGGGCAGCTCTGGGAGGAGGTTGGGGAGCAGGAAGAGGGAGGGATAGGGCTGGTAGAGGCTGGTTGGCACTGAGGATGCACGTCCGGCTAGAGCTGTGCTTTGTCACGGCATCAACGGCGAGGACGGATGGCGAGAGGCTCGGAAACCTCACTGAAGCCCCAGAAGGCCTGGTGTTTCCTCTTCCAGTTAATTGTGGGGTGGCCAACAGCCCTGAGGAACTGAGGTGGATACAGTGACCAAAACCCAGTGTCTTGGTGGATTTATCCATCCTGGATCCATTTGATAAAAAAAAAAAAAAAAAAAAACTAAAGAAAAACCCCAAACCAAAAATAAACCTGAATAAACAGGTTTGAGAGTTCCACTGGAGGGAACTTTCTTAGCACTGAAGAAAAAAACAACCCACAAAACACTCATCCCCCACAGAACTGGAATAAGATGATGAAGAGAAATGCAAGATATATCTACAGGCCCTCCCGCCCCCCCCACGCAGCCCCAGGATCCAGGAACACTGTGCCAGGAGTTACATTCCAAACGAGCAGGAGTTATTTTATTTTGTGTGCCTGCAGTTCCCCACGCAGGGTGGCTTCCTGTCTGAGGAAGGAGTGGGCCTGGCCATGGTCCACTCCCATCAGTCTATCTTCACAGCAGCGTAGATCTTGCGGACAAACATGTAGGCTGCATAGAAGCCGATGGTGCCCGTGAGGAGCCAGAAGGACAGGACCATGAGGGCCGTGTAGCCAAAATAGAGCAAAGAAGGAATGAACTCTACGATGTCCAACTGAGGTCCCAGTGGGGGAGAGAAAAAAGGGGCAGATGCTTAGTGCAGCCTGTCATGACAACTGGGAGGCACCCCCACCCCCAAGTGATCTCATACTGAAGTGGAGGCCCTGAAAGGGGGAGTAGCTGGCTCCAGATGGGCAGTGAGGAACTCACAGTCGCAGTGAAGCTGCACTGGTACCAGGGCCCACAATACCTTGCATACTCACTAGAGGTTATTAACCCATTTTACAGATGAGATACAGAGCAGTTAGACAAGAGTTGGGCCTATTATTAAGCTTAGGTTTCACAAGCCATAGATAGAGCCTCTGCTGAAACTATTTAACTCTGCCACTGTAGTGTGACACTAGTCACAGATGACATGCAAATTACCAATGGCTTTGTACCAATAAAACTTTATTTATAGAAACCAGCTCACTGGCCACGGGCTACATTTCACTGACCCCTGAACTAGGTGACTGTTGGGATGGCTGGAGGAGCATGTCAGTAAACTGGAAGTTTTACATTTAGTATGGCCGGAGGCCCACACAAAATTATCCTTACAGTGCTTCCAATCTGACATCTTTGGGAAAAGGCATTCCAGCTTCAACCACTGACCTATGAGTCTAGTTTGGAAATACACCTTGGCTGTAAGCAGAGCACTGCATACTTGTGGGTTCTGAAGATCCAGAGTACAGCAGGTGTAAGTTAGCTTCGGAGGTGAGGGGTCCACCAGAGAGACCCCACGCTCCTCTCAGTGGCCCGTACGGTTTATGTGTCAGGCATGAATCGATCAGAACTGTAACAGGGATTTGTTTGTATCCTTGTTCCTGCCACTCTTTGGAGACAAGGAGCTCTTCCCAATGTGCCGAAGTCTACATTTGGGTGCTAAGGGCTATGTCAGCATTTTCTGCTTTTTGCCGTAATAACACTTCTTATTTACATTCCTTATTCTCTCATGCATTGTTCTCTCTGTTCTAGATCTGGAGGGGAGTACTGTATTACCATCTCTATTATGCCCTACTAAAAGCACTGTATGGTGATACATTTCCTTTAACTTCTGCTTTGGCTGTACATCGCAGGTTTTGTTTGCAATATTCTCCTTGTCTATGCTGGAGGTTTTGGTCTTTCAAACATACAGAAAATAAATTCTCGTTTCCCTAAAAAGATGCATGTTTTAAAGCAAAAACAGTTCTAGAAAGGCTTGGGTGCTCTCCACTCTTGGTGGGAAAGTATGGCTTTTCCCCTAGCACCTGCCTGTCCTGAAACGGCTGAGACAGTCCCCCACACAGGGCAATACCTTGTTAACAAAATAAAAGATGGCATAGACTAGGACGTAGAATGCAGATCCCCCGGAGACCAGGAAATTCCTCCACCACCAGCGGTAATCCTGAGGAGGAAAAAGAGAAGGGCCATAACCATCTCCAGGCAGAACTTCTTCCCCCAAGTTTCAGAGTATCTGAGAGGCTAGTGGTGGGCTACAAGAACAGTAGTAATATGTAGGATAATGGGATTGCTTGACATCTTGACTTGATGATTACACAACCATAGGTTCTAAAAACTCATAGAATTGTAGATTCAAAGGGTGAACTTTACTTTTATAAATTACATCTCAATTTAAAACAACAACAAAAGAACAGCAATAACAATAACAGCCCTTATGCAAATGCTCACCGTGTGCCAGGCCGCACTGTAAGTGCTGTATCTGATCAATTCACCTAGTGCCTGCGGCAGCCCCACATCAATACTCTTGCTATCTCTGTTACATTAGGGGGAATGGGAAGCAGAAAGGCTAGGCAAGGCTAGGATCCTGGCCCAGCTGTTTGTCCCAAAGCCCTTGCATTACCCACGTTGTCAAAAGCTAGTCCCCAGAGAGTGGGTCACCCAACTTACGCCAGCTCTTGGAGAAAGCATGACTGGAACGGGCTCAGTACCGACAAATGTGCCATCTTTTCGTCAAGTCTTTGTGATTAACCCACATGACCATGCTGACATAGGGGTTAACTGTAGTCTACAGCTGAATAAATGAAGGCTTGGAAAAGGGAAAAGATGTACTTGCCCAAGACTCAAGGCAGAAGAGGGGGGATCACAAGGGAAACCCAGACAGTCTCATTGATCCATTCAATGCTGAACTAGCTCCACCCTTCCTCAACTCTTGGTCCCATTCCCCTCACCTCTGCACACAGCTGGAAGTACACCATGACGATGCTGATTTGGGAGCAGGACACAACCAGGATGATGAAGACGAGGAACAGGAAGCCAAAGAGGTAATAGAACTGATTCTCCCAGATCGCCTGTAGAAATATCACAGCTGGCTTTCAGCTAGCCTGCCTCCGCCCAGCTGCCCCTTCCCCGGGCATACTCTGCTTGTTCTCAGGAAGGCCATCCCTCAGTCAGGACTGGCTTATCACCTGGTGCCAGGGCAGGAGTGGAGATACCATCATGATACCACATGGGGGCTATGGCTGGTCCCTCCCCACAGGAATAAAGGGTGAGTCAGGCGTGTCTTAGGCAGGCGCTGGGGGCATGGCTGATTCTGCAACTAGACCTTGGCAGTGTGTGGAAAATAATAACTCCATTCCAGTCAAAATTACACAGCAGCCACCACCATGTAGGGGCAGCTTGTCACATGCTACATAGGAGATGCTTTACATGCATCTCCACAGGTAAGCCTTCAAGTGTGGCCTTTTATGACTTGGGAAGTCAAGGCTCAGAGAGGCTGGTGATTGCCCCAGAGCATAACAGAGTAGAGGTGGCCTCCTTGGGAGGTCAGTCAATACATTCTCTGACCCTTTTCCTGGACAGGGCTGGGTAGGAAGGCTGGACCACTGCAGAGCAGAGAATACCTGTCCAGCACCGACTTGGTGCAGGCGCTCTCTGTGTTGGGCACCAAGCTGGATCAGCCACATGTAGATGGCTTGGAACTTCCATCTTGACATGGCTAGGGTAGGAGTAATCATCACAACAGCTACTATTTAACAATACTCCCTGAATGCCAGTCCCCGTGCCTTTTATAGACAGGTTTGCAATGCAACCTCACAATGATCCTGAGAATCAGGGTTCATTCTCCCACTTTCCTGAAGATCTGAGGAACTTAGGTAAAGATGCACAGGGGTCTAGAACGCAACGCTGACTCAGCAATGACATCAAGGGCGGTGGTGACTGACTGCAGTGTCACCGAGGCAGCTTCTATTTACTGAGCCCTTCCCACACTCCAGACCTGGACACTGAGCATATTTCTGCTAAACTTCAGAGCTGTTCTACAAGACAGATTATCACCCCACTGTGATGAGGGCTCTAAGAGGTTAAGTGACCATGGGAAATTTCACAGACAGTAAAGAGGCAGAGCCTCAGGAGGGGTGGAGACTAGCTGGTAGGGGTGCAGGTTGTGTGTGTGGAGGGGTGGGGCGCAGGGAGCACTACTCACACTGAAGATGAAGAAAAGCTCGATGAACATGGCACCAAAGGGCAGGATCCCAGCCATGAGGATGCTGCAGCAGAACAGGAGGGTTAACACCACCAAGACACCCAGCGTAGGACGCCCCAGGTGCCCTCCCCAACCAGGATGAATGAGATTGTGGGAATTCCTTTGGCTGCTTTTGTAACAGTTATAATGCCCTGAGTGGTAGGTAGGGTGGGTAGCATTCTCCCTACATTACAGATGGAGAAATTGAGATACAGAGAGCTGATCTTAACCTATTTACTCCACCTTCCCACCCTTCCCGCTCCCTGCCCTGGTTCCTGGGCTGACACCAAGTCTGGCTACAACACGGTCGGCTTTATCTTAGAGAGGAGCTAAGCTTTCATGAGGTCTATTTGAGCTGGCTGAGCTGCAGGAACACTAGTCATGGTGCCTGGCAGGGAGGTCTTCCCCTAAGGAGAAGGCTCAGGGCAGTGTCCCACTCCAGAGGCCTGCTGGCCTTGCCCCTGCAGAAGACTCACCCCACAAACCGGTTCATGTACCACCGCTGCTCAGGGATCTGCCGGGGAATCTGGTTGGTGCGCACAGGGTTGTCATATGGCTGCTTGCGGAAGCCAAAGTAGTAGCCCAAGTAGACAAGGGGCAGGGAGATCCCGAACCACATGCACAGCAGGGCCACCATCGTGGGGAAGGGCACCTGTGGGCACAGTGTTGTGAGGCCCCACAGAGCCCTTATGCCCAAGACGTGGGGGCCAGGGAAGGAGGGACCCAGTGGGAGCACCATGGTGAGGAAGTCCTGCAGACACCCTCACTTGGGGCTCCTGGACAGAACCCTGGTCTGAAGGAAGAACAGAGTGCAGGCGGAGAAGCACTTGGACGGTGAAGAGAAGAAGGAACATGGCACCCCAGGGAAGCTTGCCATCCGGGGAGGAAGTGGGGAAAGAACAAGGAAGAAGGCACTGAGAACATGGGGGGATGAAGAGTGAAGAGTCCGAATGAGGGAAATGACGTGTGGTTGGTTAAGCAAATAGAAAAAGGGGAAAACACAACTGCAAAGAGTGTTCCTAATTTTGTTAAAATAAAACACCATAATAGACCATTATGTGAAAAAAGCAGGCTATATAATGCTTTTTTAATATGTATGCATAGGAGACTCCCTTTGAATAAAAACACACTGGTATTTACACGTGTATGTGATATGGCTCCTGCTGCGCCAAATACTAGCTCAGCTAAGATAGAGGAAACAAGAACTATTTTTCACATTCTTTATCTTCTTCTGTATTGTTTTTAAAACAAGAATCATGCAAAAAGAAATAATTAATATGTGTTTATTATTCCAAAGAGAGCACCAATAAATGATGGCTATTTTGTGATTTTTCGGTTCTATCATTGCATTTAAAATATCTAAAAAGAGGAGAAAAGACTCAAAAACATAGACTAAAGAATCTGGGTTAACTTCTCTGTACTTTCCAAAATTTCTACCCTGAGTAGTAAGCTGGTAACTGGGAGAAAAAGGCTGAACGAGAGCAGGCACGAAGGTATAAAAAGAGGAAGTGGCCTATAGTCCTTCCTGAGGGCTACTTCCTGGACTATGGCGAGAACCGCCCTCCGGCAGCCTTACCTAAGGACCTTTAACAAGTACCTCCAGGGGGAAGCCAGCTCTATCCATGCCCCACCTCCACTGCAGCTTGACCTCATCTCCCCATCCCCAACTGTGTTCAAAGCCCTACTGAGGACCTCTCCGATGGCGCAGCAGTTGAGTGCTGGGTTGCAAAGCTGCCCGCAGCCTCTGCAGTGCCGGTTCGATCCCCGAACCCCGGGTGAGGGTCCCACATGGAGAGCAGACCTCTCCTGCTGCCCGCTGCTCCCCTCAGCAGTGTACTTTGTCAGTCGGCCTGCTCTGCTCTCCGCCCGACTCTAGTGAATTCTCTCACCCTCCCGACTCTGGTGAATTCTCTCACCCTCCCGTGCTTCTGAATGCACCCAGTGCTTGTACAAATAAATACATAAATCTTTAAAAAAAAAAAAAAGCCCTATTGAGTCCTGGGGCTGGCAGGATCAGCACTCTGAGGACAGGCAGCCCTTCCTCCCCATTCTCTCTGCCTCCAAGAATAGAGCAGGGGGCAGGGACATTAGGTGAATGTGTTTGGAGATAATGACCTGATCAATTCATACCAGTAGCTTCTCTTGGTTGAGAGAAGGGGAAATTCCCCAGCTGGCCCCTGGACTGTGGAAACCTCCCAACAGAGAAGTGAGCTTTGACCAGCTGTCTGAAAGAGCCCACAGGAAGGCCAGAGGCAGGGCCAGGCCTAGGGCAGATGGATGGGCTGAAGTGGGGAAACCCCAGTCAGCCCTCAGCCCCATGGCTCAGAAAAGAACTCTAGGGATTCAGAAAACGGAAGGGAAAAGGAGGAAATGACCTTTGGGAGTAGGGCTGAGCACTGGCACTCCCTCGTTGGGGAGGGGGCAAGTGTGGGCTGAGGGTAGGGCACTTACTGCTCCTGATGAGTGCTTTCCCCAGATGAAGCAATTCAACACGAAGCAGATGCCAAAAACCACACCAGGGTACAGTGTTGCAGTCTGTAACCAAGAGATCAGGTTGGAAAGCTGTCTTTTGGAGAGCTCTCACCTATCCCAGTGGGGTTTCTAGACCAGAGGTTCTCATACCCTTCTTTGTCCTCCAGGACTCAGCTCATGGTTCATTCCTTCCAGAAAGCATTCTAGACCCCCAGATTATGCAGGCTTCCTGTTTTCTGTCTTCTTCAGTCTCTGAATGCCCTTATCCCAGTTTATAATTACATACTGTTACGTGATCAGCGTCTGATTAATCCCCTGCCTGTAAGCTCCTTGGGAGGAGTCTGTCCACTGATAATATTCCCAGTACTTAGAACACAGTAGCTGTTCAATAAACACCTACTGAATAAGGAATGAACAAAACTTTTACAAAACATGTATGTCTGCGCTCTAGCCCAAACTGCCGAGAGTGGTGGGGAAGTTTTGAGTCTGAGGGGCAGCCGGTGCTGGCCTCTACATGCATGGCCTCACCTAATCCTCCTCACAGGCCCAGATGGGAAGCATTATTTCCATCCCCTTTTAAAGAGGACAGTGAGGTCCAGCAATGCTAAACACACCCCTCAACTGCACAGAGGTTGGAGCAGAGGTTCAAACCCAGGCAGTAGATACCAGAGTCCCAGCTTCGGACTCCCCAGGGTCCTCTGTACTCTGCCATTCAGTCCTTGCTGTCACTGTCATCTTTGGTTCTTAGCCACCCACACCCAGTAGCTGGTTACTGCTCCTGCATGTCCCTGTCCCTTTATGTAGGGCGAGTTCAAGGCATCTGTGGCCTGAATGCTAATGTTGTACCGAGGGCCTTCCATACACAGGCTCTTTCCATCCACACAACAACTATGAGGCAGGTGTAGTCAATTCCCATAAAAGATCCCCAAGGTAACCCAAGATTGCCAACCAAGGAAAAAGAGACAAGACAGAGGGAATCTAGGAGAGTTCAAAACCTGAAGCCCCCCACCTGGCTGCTTCTGTCTATCTGAAACCCTTTTCTTCAAGGCCCAGGTCAAATGTCATGCCCTGCCTTCTTGTGTGCTCCTGCTTTATCTAATATAGTAGGGAATTCCTTATCTACTTTGCTGGTTGAAATTCATGGACTGGGCACTGCGCTAAATTTAAGGGGTAAGAATAAGAAAAAATTTGAAGGAGGAAGACAGATCCATAAACGGAGAGCAAAATACATGGCATTACTTGTATGCACAAGGCCTCTGGGGTGCTGAGGAGAACACTGAGGTTAAAATGGGACTTGGAGGGAGATGGGAAGGGCAATGACCCTAGAGTGAAGACTTACAGGGGGAAGTGAGGAGAGTGAGGGGGTGGTAGCCAGGACAGAGGGGTAGCAGGGGCTGGAGGACTGGGGAGCAGCTGTGCACCCGCACTAGTGCGGCCTGCAGTAGATGTCCACCTGTGGAGGAAGGCAGAGCACCAGGGAAGGGTCTTCCAGGGAGACCAGGAAGCCTAGGACAGTCAAGGGTCCAGGAGAGAGAGATGAAGATGCCTAAACCTTCATGGTAAGAGTCCTGGAGATAAAGGGAATGGGAGATTCATGGACTATTTATCAGAAAACCCCTCCATACCTGATGTCTCAGAGGAGGGACACGTGGGGATAGGATGAAGAAAGGAAGCTACCAGGTATCTGGGTGAATGCCGGGGCCACAGGAAGCAAAGAACGGATGTGGGGAAGAGAGAGTGGGTTTGGCAAGACTGAGGCAGACCCTGGAGATCTGCTAGAGTGATCAGAGAGGAGTGTTGGGTTTATGTCCCTAAAGATAGCACAGTGGCCTGAAAACATGCTTAATGCTTCAAGAGTTCAGGAACTCTTTTTTGATCCTTCCAGAATAATCACCATTGCTGAGGGCTTACTATGTCCCAGGGCTGTGACAGCCAGAGCTGAGACAGGCGGAGTGTCCCTGGGGCTTTTGACAGATAGCTGTGAGAATGGTTTCAGAATGCTGGGACCAGAGGCTTCCAGGAGTTTGGACCAAGGGTTTCCCTGATCCTCCACGGGTTGCACTTGCTCTGGGAGAAGGGGGTCAGATTCCCTGGGAGGTGAGGTCCACCCTCCAGGTGCCCTCTGGTTTCTATGGTCCTTCCTGCTACCAAGACCTCTCATCACACCAGGAGGACAGAGGAGGGCAGGAGCTGTCCTCATTAAAGAGGAATGGAGACACCAAAATTTGAAAAGCAGGCTGAGGGAGACATGGGTTCTGGCCTCTTCTGGCCCTGGCAAACAAATTCCCTTACTCCATTGGCAGGACATTTGCTCAGCAGCCCTGTTGGTCTATTTCTGACCTTAAACTTTGGCACCTGGGCTTGATGTCTAAATCCTGTTATTCTCAATCCCGTTTTCTTATTTGAGGCATTGGACAATGTAGGCTAAGAATCACATAAATTTGACTCCCACATTTTATGGATTCAGAACTCAGGCCTAAAAGGCACCTGTGTCTGTGAATAAGAGACCAGCGTTCCTGTCCGTGAGGTGTGTGCTCCTGCCCCACCCTGTTCAGTCTCTGGCCCTATAGTTCCCACCAGGGCCTGCATATGCTCCGACTGAGGAGTCCAGGAAAAAATCTCTCAGCTCCCCGACAACACCAGGATGAGGTTTAGGATACTTACACAGAAGGCTCCTTTCTTCCATCGATGGCCTTTTAGAGTGCGGTATAGACGGCCAGCAGAAAATCCACCAAATACCCTGTGGGGAAAAGGCAGGGATCCAAACCAAGGGGACCTGTTAGCTGCAGTGCAGGTGGTCTGTGCCAGCCCCGAGGAGCCCACTCAGACACACCTACCCCATGAACATGAACAGGAAGCAGGCTGTGGTCATGAGAGCTCCCCGGCTGGAGGGCGACAGCATCCCGAGCATGGCCACAACTGTGGAGGGGACAGAGAGGATGAAGTCAGGGTGGCTGATAGCCAGGTTCCCAGCCCCCAGCCGGGCTGCTTGACAGGAACAGGGCAGATGGAAGATGAGGCTCGCTTTTTCCTATAGAAAATGGGTCTTAGCTGGGGCTCAGGGGTGAGCGGCTGCTGCTGGGCTTAGCTGGCCACATCTTTACTGCAGCTTTCGCCCAAGAAGCAAGTACAACCAGTCAGGTGCTAGGCTGAGAGCACAATGAACACGAGCTCACGCAATCAACCCTGCCAGGTAGAAGTTAGTTTCTCTGTTTCTCGGATGAGAAAACTTAGGTTAAGAGTTAAGTGATCTGTCCAAGGCATGAAGCAAAAATACAAATTTAGGCAGATTAGTTGCTAAGATTTTATTAAAAGTTTTCATCACAAGGGAAAAAAAATCTTTATGTCAGCTGACAGATGTCAACTAAACACTGTGGTAATAATTTTGGAATATATACTTATATTGAATCATAACGTGTACACCTTAAATATAATGTATGTCAAAAAATGGTTAAAATGGTAAAAAAAAAAAGTGGGAGACTGACTTCAGAACTGTCTATAATTATGTTAGTTTTTTGGTTGTTTTTTGAGAACAAAGGACTTCAGTCCTAATCCTGGTACTGACTTTGTTAAATCTCTTCACGTCTCATTGCAAAAGGAGGCCAAGCCCACAGCATTGACGGGTGGCTTCCCTGAAGGCATGCTGGAAAGCTGTGAGGAGAATCTCTATCGCCACCATCTAGGACTGAGATGGCAACTCTGTCTGACTCAGACACTGACATGTCCCCTTTCTCCAAGGAAGGAAGCCTGTCCTTCCCACAGACAGACCCTAACCTCTGGTGATACGCCCCCCACCCAGCCCCACCAGGCACACTCACAGATGACGATGAGGATCATACAGAAGAGCTGAATGCCGGAGCCCAGCAGCGAGCTGAGGATTAAGGGGTACTGAGGGGGCCGGAAGACATCACCATGTACTAGCTTCCACCCAGACTCCTCCATGGTGTCTTCCTGCAGTAAAGGACCAGAGAATGAGGTTGTGTCTTGGACTCCAGAGGAGGCACTCCTGCAGGGACCACCTCTAGGCCTTATGCCCCCTGACTAGGGCTGAGAGTCCCTCACACATCAACCAGGAGGGACTGGCACAGGAGTTAGCAACATGCGAAAGTGCTTCTCTGAGAACTATTACAGGGGAAAGAGAGCACAAACATGAGGTTTACAGCTACATAAAATGAAAATCTCCTTCCGGTGTTTTACGAAAACTAATACGTGGAAAAATAATGTAAACATCAACATACTAAAATGCTAACTGTGGGGCCCCCCTGGTGGCGCAAGGGGTTGAGTCGCTGAACTATGAAGCAATCCTCAGTCACTGCAGCATAGCATGAGTTCGATCTCCTGCCAGCCAGGCAGCAGACCTCTCCTGTCTTGCCCGCTGCTCCCCTCAGCAGTGTATTTCAATCAATTTGCCTGTTCTGTTCCCCACTCTGTCTCTAGTGAATCCCCTCACCCCTGGCACCTCTGGCCTGTACCCCAGCTCTTATATGCATAAATAAAAATCTTAAAAAAAAAAAAAATTAACTGTGATAGCTTTTGGGTGGCAAGACTAAGTAGCAATTTATTTTTTTATTGATTATAAAGGTAGTATGTGATACTCTTGTATAAAAAAAAGAAAAAATTTTGGTATATGGCATGATGTTCAAATGAATAAAAAGTAATAAATGTTTATTGCAGAAAACTCTTTCAAAATTTGTAAGGATATAAAAAAATGATTTATATTCATCACTGAATGATACCAGTTTTGATATATCTCTTTTAGTCCTTTATGGTTATATAATTTTTAAACAATAAAATTTGGAACACACCGTATTTACTGTGGACTTTAAGTTGATGTTTGATCATGCACATTTCTTCATGTCAATGACCACTCTCTGAAATGACCATTTTAATGAGTATAACTTTTCAGGGTACAGCTATACCCTAATCTCCATTGTTATGGAAGTTTATATTTTACAATTTGTGATACATACTGCCAATTACTTTTCAGAAAACTACCCATCTGCAGTTGCAGAGCTGGCAAGGGACAGTGCTTGCCTCACATTCACCTTGCCAACAAATAGTACATACACATAAACCTGTGTGAATCTGATGGCCCAAAATGGTCTTCTCATTGCTAGGATTTGCACTATGGAGAGTTATCCCTAAGTCAAAACAGTTTTCACATGTCTACTAGCCTGGAGCTCCTCATTTATAAATTTTCTGTTCATTAGAGATTTTAGGTTTTTTTTTTTTTTTGAGAGTTGTTTTTTCAAAAGGAGATTTTACACCAAATCTTCAACTATGCCATCTACTTTCAAATTTGATGCAAATGTTTTGCCACCACATGTTCTTATTTTATGTATTCTGACACACAGATCAATTAAAATGTTTAATGTCCAGGGCGCCTCCCTGGTGGCGCAGTGGTTGAGCGCTGGGTTGCGAAGCTGCCCGCAGCCACTGCAGAGCCGGTTCAATCCCCGGCCACTGGGCGAGGGTCCCACATGGTGTGCAGACCTCTCCTGCCGCCCGCTGCTCCCCTCAGCAGTGTATTTTGTCCGTCTGCCTGTTCTGCTCCCTGCTCTGGCTCTGGTGAATTTTGTCACCCTCCCGCACTTCTGACTGTACCCAGTGCTTGCATAAATAAATAAATAAATCTTAAAAAAAAAAAAGTTTAATGTCCAATTAACCAAGTTTTCGTACTGTGATTTCTTTCATAGTTTTTATGCTTCAGAAATTAGAAAGCTTATCTCCATCACTTTGGGTCATGAAAAAAATATATTTCCTTTTCACACACATGCACACGTGCACGCACACACACTCTCACACTCCTGCTCTGGTAGGCCCACAGTCCTCCCTCTCCAAGCCCATTCCTCCCAGCCAAGTCCTCATACAATGTCATCCTCCTTGTTATAGTTGGCGATGTCCTTCCGGAGAGTGCGAATGATAATCATGCTCAGGATGCCTGAAACACACAGGGTAGGGAGAAAGAGAAGTCCTCAGCACTGCCAAAGAGTCTTGAGTTGCATGCCTTTCCTGGCTTGCAGTGATGGCCAACATGCACATGCTTTAAGTCCTATACTGGGCACAGCTTTACCCCAGCTACTTGGGGAGAAGCCAGGAGAGGAAGGAAAAACCAGCTGGGATGGGTGGGGGCAGTCACAGGACACTGCATTTTATTCCAAGAAGAACAGCATCCTGGCTCCTCTATGGTTTGGTCCTACCAAATTCTCCAAGGTCACCTCCTCCCAGGCTCACCCCTCATTCCACCTCCTGGTTATCTGTTGCTTTAGTTATCAATACACAGCTTCATCTCTCTTACTTCTCCCGCCTTTAGCCAGGTTACTCCCTGGGCGAAGGAATGCCCCCTCTCCCCTAACTCCTCACTCACGCCAGTCTCACCCACAGTATCTTCTCCTCTCGACACTCCAAACAGTCCTATTTGTACCTCCCCAGCACCCGCCATCCAGGGAACACATGTAACGGTAAAGTCAGTGGGTATATAACCTCAAGCTAATTCCACGTTTTCAGACTTAATTCATGAGATTTCAAAGACTGAAAAGTTGTCAAGTGCTTATTAGCACAGCAGCTGACTGCTGGGTAAATGTTTAATAAAAGTAGCTGGCATTATCTTTATATCTCATGAGATATTAAAATGATGTTTCAATTCTACTTCTGCCTACCTCTTTCTCCTTGCTCACCACCCCCTTGTCACCTGGCTTTTTACCAAGTATGTCCCACTGCAAGACTGTGACTTGCTGGAATAGTCTTTCTCTGGGTCTTTAGCCATCACCCTTTCTTCAACAGCTGTGTCTCGGCTACTCGATCTGCTCCACAGCTCTTCTCACTATTTAGAACACCACTACCTCTGTGCTTGTTGACTCTTACCCCCGGACCCCCCAAAAGCAGCACAGACTCTGTGAAGGCAGAGGCTAGCTGCGTTTGCTCAACACCATATCCCCAGCATGAGGCCCTGCACCCACACAGAATGAGCAATAATCTTGAATGAATCAATGAATGTGCATGTGAATAGAGGTATCCGTCTTCAGAGTACGGGCTTAATCTTGTTCACCTTTGTATTATCTGTTATCTAGCACAGAGCCCTGATACCTGTTTTTAACCCACACTTGGCCCCAAGAATACCCCAGAAGTTCTCATAAGTGATAGGATGCTTCAGGTCCCTCAGTCCTCACTCACTTGTCCTCTCCACCCTCCGACTCAACGGCTCTCTCACCTGACAGGAAGAAGACCACCACGACAGAGTTTATGATAGAAAACCAGTGGATCTGCACATCACTCATGGTGAGGTAAGTGTCCCAGCGAGAGGCCCACTTAATGTCACTTTCCTGGAATAGCGAGGGAGAAAAAGCACTTAGAATCAGGCCTCCCACTAGACAACTCCTGCCCATACCAGAATCCTCCTCCCCCTCCACGGGCTCCTGCCCCTACTTACCTCCCAGTGTACAGAGTAGGTGAAGTACAGCTGGTTCTCCTTGGTGGGGTCAATTTCTTGGGGTGAGGAGTTGGTGCCTTCAGGCAGGGTGCATGAACTCTTCTCATCTGTTTTGAGGTCTGTGAGAGACAGAGACTTAGTCTGTTCCTTTGGGAACCAGTATCACTACCCAAGGGCTTTTCTGGGGGCTTCCACAGCAGCCAACTGAAGGAGGTTGTATGCTGTTGAGACCCAGGGTCTGGCTGGAGGTTGGCTAGCAACAATGGTTTTTCAATTGTGCTCCCCAGAGCCCTGACCTTATAAAGGGCCTTAGGGGCTACAGAGAAGAGGGGTGGGGTGGGGGTGGGTAAAGGACAAAAACATTTCTTTTGAGGCATTTCAACTGGTTTTTCAACCCAGGATGAACTGGCTGGTTTTTGTGAAGAGGCCCAGCTAAACCCCAAGTTGCTATTAAGCCTTGGCCAAGTCACCAACTTCTCTGAGCTTCCAGTGGCTCACCTGTCATTACCAGATACCTCCAGGAATTGCTAGAGATGATCAAGTGTCAAGGTGCCCGCCCAGGACACAACAGATTTCAGTTCTCCCCTCACCCACACCTTTTGTGATGAGAATAATAGCGACCCTACCTTGGTTGGGTCCATATTTCACATTGGGACCTATAAGCCATTTCAGCAATCAAGTGTGAGAAGACCCTGGTGTGGAAGCCTAGACCCATCCAGCCCTGCCCCTCTGGTCGTACCTCCCCACTCACCCTCCAGCCTGATGCTCTGGGGAATCACCTCGAAGCGGACGACGCGGTATGTGTGCTCCTGGTCCTCTTCCAGGTCCTCCCGATGATAGTAAAGGATGAAGGATAGGTGATTGTGCAGGTAGATCTAAAACAAGCAACAGAGACAACAAAATAGGGAGTAGCCAAGAAATAACTAGAAAATCCCTCAAGGAGATCATCTCAAGTATTAGTGCCCTCCCCTCACCCAACTGGCCCAGCTGTCTCCAAACCGTTCTCATAGTACTCCCCTATTCCAAACCCTCCAAGGCTCCCGGGGGCTTACCATGTAAAAGCCCAAATCCCACACCCTGACCATGAAGGCCTTCCACCCTGACTGTCCCCATCTTCTCAGATACATAAGCTCACCTGGCCTTTCTGAGTCTTCCCTGTCCATGAACACTGCCTGTACTGCAGCTCTGTTCAAGACATTCAGACCCACTAGAATTGTAGCCCTGCCTTCACTCAGCTCAAGGCTACCTCTTTCTCAAGGCACACCCCTCTGTGACATCCTAAGCACATGTGTTCCCTCTGAGCTCCCTAGCACTGACAGTCACAGCACTGTCACAGGCAGTGAAAGGCAACTTGGACTAGAGACCTCAGATCTTAGGCTGTCAGTTTCCTTCCCAATTAGGATAGAAGCCTTCTGAGGACAGGGGCTGTGCTTCAAGAGAAATGTTTTGTTCTTTACTCCCTAAGTAGTATGTGCTCATTTTAGAGAGTTAGAATAATGAGAGAATCACTGTTACTATCATTGCCACTATCAGAGTATTTCTCAGAGCCCATGTGCGCACTATGAAGTGCTTACTTATATTTGCTTACTTGTATTATCTAATTTGCTCTGCAAAACAAACCCAAAGAACAAGTGTGGTTATTTATTACTAACATTTCAAAGAGAAGGAAACAAAGGCTCAGAGAGGTGAAATAGGTAGGCTCAATGACACTCAACCACTAGTAAGTGATTCAAAACATAGAAAGGACACTGCATGCTCCTGCCCAGTACTTAGCTCTCTCTCCTACATACTGATGAAATTCCAGACTGTTTGCTTTCATCTTATTGACGTGAACTCTGACGATTTTGGGACAGTGCCTTCCACCTCCCATGCAGCATCTGCCAGAGCCCTGCCAAAGCACTCAGACTTCTGATAATTTTTTTTGAAAGATTTATTATTATTATTTTTATTTATTTATACATGCACTGGGTACAGTCAAAAGCGCGGGAGGGTGAGAGATTTCACCAGAGCCAGAGCGGGGAGCAGAGCAGGCAGAAGGACCCAAGTACACTGCTGAGGGGAGCAGCGGGTGGCAGGAGAGGTCTGCACGCCATGTGGGACCCTCCTCCGGTGGCCGGGGAGCAGCCGGGAATGGAACCAGCACTGCAGAGGCTGCGGGCAGCTTTGCAACCCAGCGCTCAACCGCTGTGCCACCGGGGAGGCCCGACTTCTGATATTTTAGATGTCTACCAGGGGCTCTGGGAGGAACTTGCCATGGTTGAGCCACCATCTTTTCTGTGTTGTAAGTCTAAACCTAAAAGTTTCCCCTTCTCTGTGGCTCCAAGTGCTCATGACATTGGGGTATGGCTCCCCAGCTTACTGAGCACACCAAGACACTCTACCTTGTTGACATCCGTGAAGCCAAGCCGGTAGCCGTGTTCGAACTGCACATCTTTTTCCTTCTTCTTGTCATCTCCATCGCGGTTGGAGTAGAGTTCCAGCCGGGTGGCCACAGGCAGGTTGTCGGCAATGCTGGAAACCCAAGGCTCCCGCTCAGTCCCTCTGGATCACCTCTCCCCTCAGTGCCCTCCCTATGTGAAATCGAGATCAGCAGGGAGCAGAGGACAACTTACAGGTGGACGTAGTAGTCCTCTGTGATCCGCTCAGCCACGAGCCGACTCTGTTCCACAGTCAGGGTCACTGGATCCTTAGACTTGCTGCACAGAACTTCACACTTCTTTTCACTGTTCATGAGAACCTGGAAAGGGGTGTTGACAATCCGGTCCCCTCTCAGCACCTCTCCTGCCGTAAGAGAGACAGATGGAGCTCAGAGCTTTAGCCCTGAGCTAAAGAGGTCAGCAGAGACACAGGGCTGACTTGCAAGGCCCTCAGCAGTTCTGTAGCCTGGCACTAGTGATCTGCCCTATCCGCTCTTGCCCAGCTTGCCCACTTGACACCACCTGTAGCACTCGTGCCCGCCCCGCCCCCGGCACCCCCCACCATCCCAGCACCATCAGACTCTTCTGAGCGCATCAGACAAGCCATATCATTCCATGTCTCTGGGTCGCTTGTCATTTTCTTTGCCTGGAGCCCCTGCTCCACATCTTGGGAAACTCCTTGTCCTTCGAGCTCAGCTTCTATTTTGCTCTCCAGAAAGTCCGTTATTTGACCTCTTCAGGTTAGAGCTCATCACTCCCTCCTCTGATTCTATACAGAGGCAGCATCATGCAATGGCAGAGAGAAGAGGCCACCTGCTATTAAACGCTGGCGCTGCCACTTACTAGCTTAGCAGTCTTGTTAAGTCCTTTGACCTCACTGAGCCTCAATTTCCTTATCTATAAAATGGGGATAATAGTACCCAACACACAGGATCACATTAAGAAATAAAGTACCAGGCACAGAATAGGTAGGCAGCAACAAAATCCTATTTCTACCATCAACTTTACCTCTGTGCCTTTTCATATGTTGATGATGTGACACTATGATGGTATGTTAAATTTCTGCCTCCCATGACTATGAGAGTTTTCAAGGCAGACAGAGTTTCTTCTCTCTGCATCTTTAGATTCTGGTTCAGGCAGTAAGGGAACTAGGTAAAACCCAGCACCTGAAAATTTTAACCAAAACACCTTTTTACTTTATGAAGTGGCATGCCCTCATGTGCCTCATGTGCTGTCAACAGCAGGTACGGACAGTGGGGTATCAACTACACCCAACAGTGCTCTCATTCTGAGCTGTTCAAACAACTCTACTGCATGTTGCAAACTGGGGCAAGCCTAAGGAACAAGCAACACCAGTACAAGGACTAAAGCCTCTATGTGCATTTGGTGTAACACCTGCCTACTAGTGTGAACCCATGTGATATGGGACTCTGCCTAGTCCACTCACCCCCCCTCCTCCCTCTGTCCCTCTGTTCCTCCTTCCCATCCAAAACCTGAACTAGGTACTAGCTGAGGGCTATGCCCTGAATGTATAATGTTCAACAGACATACTCATACTTGGATCATAAGGCCTTGTGGGAAGACATACTTGGATCTTAAGACCTTGTGGGAAGACAGAAAAATGAAACAATTGGGATATTGAGAATATGCTGTATAACAAGAGGAACTTGCTCTAGACATCGGGAGTAGGTCTAGGAAAGTTTCTGAGGAAGTGATGCTTGAAGTAAGCACTAAAGGAAGAGAGGCATCAACTAGGTAAACAGATAGGGGAAGAATATTCTAGACAAAAAAAACAGTATGTACACAGGTCCCTTGGGGGTGGAGGAAGTGTGGTTAAAGTTGAAAGGCCTGTGTGGTTGCAATGCAAAGACCAAGAAGGAGAGAGCTGAGGTAAGCTGGAGAGATGAGACAGAGCTGGACCTCAGGGGACCTGTAGGCTACACTGGAATTCGATATTTATCTAGGAAATAACAAAAGTCAATGAAGGATTTCTAAAAGGGGCAGAGAAGGACATCATCTGATTCTGGTTACAGAAGACCACTCTGGCCATTCTGTGATGAAAGCAGAGAAAATGTAAGGAACTGGCTAGGTTGATTGCAGTGAGTCATATTAGTGAGTGATGAAGGAAGATGGATTAGAGGGTTTGGTGAGGGTGGAAATAAATACATACATTCAGAAGCTACTTGGGAGATGAAATCTAGGGGACATGGTGCTAATACAAGGAATAAGTAAAGAGCAGTGTATATTAGGAATACTCTGAGGTTCCTACATACAGATTCTAGGTGGAAAAAAAGGAATAGCAAATTTAGACAGAAGCCAATTTTTCAGTTTGGGTAAGCAGAGTAGACATGCCCAATTTAAGGCTAAGAGGAGAGAGAGGTCAGGGCTGTAGATGGAAGCCGTGAGTCGCTGGTATATAGCTGGCAAGTAGCAGAGCGGCAAGCTGCATCACCGGAGCACTCTTTCCTCTACGCCATGCCCTACTGCTCATTTCTTTTCAGTTCAACAAGGAACTTACTTGAGGAGAAAGAACATACAGAGAGGGGAAAAGCCCTACAAGTGAAGGGGGTATCACTTCTTGATATTTAGAACTTAAATTTAAACCAAGAAAGGGGAAAAATTGGTCTGGAGTGGCTCATTCCACTCTGGAAATATTCTTGTTAATTTTTACAGCTATCTAGTCACACTAGAGGAGCAATAAGCTCTCAGGCCCTAGGAGAGTCTGATGTACACTAGCACATCTGCCAGGGATACTTCAGCACACACTCTATGATCTGAATCTCCACCAATGTCACAATCATGGGCACAGCCCTCAGACAGCTCATCTGAGCCTTTTTTGGAGACAGTAGCCTGGACAACAGAAACAATCTAACTTTAGAGTTAAAATCCTGGGCTAGCAAACTATAAATCAGAGACACAGAGCAGGGGACAAGGAGGGGATTTTATGGGGATTACATCTGAAAGGAAAAATAAAAAATGAACAATGCTAAAATATATATATATACACACATGAATATATTTAATAAAACAAAACAAAAACTGGGCCTTCCTGGTGGCGCAGGGGTTAAAGCACTGTTAAGCTATTGCCAACCACTATGGCCTGAGTCTGATCCCTGGTCAGGGATCTAACCCACATGGCGCAGCAGACCTCTCTTGTCTTACCTGCTGCTCCCCTCAGCAGTGTATTTCAGTCAGTCTGACTATTCTGCTCCCACTCTGCCTCTGATGAATCCTCTCACCCCCCACACCTCTGGCCTACACCCCAGTTCTTATATGCATAAATAAAATAAATCTTTAAAAAAGAAAAAACAACAAAACCTGGGCTAGTATCTCAACTTCTCAACCTGTTGGCCACTTGGCCCCAAGCAAGTCTTACAAACTTTTGAAGTTGCTGTTGTCGCCACTGTGAAAAGGAAGCTACCACATTGGACTGCAGCTATCATAAAACTCACTAAGAGTATGCAGAACATGGTGCTTCAAGAAACTCTGGCGCCAGAGTTGCTGGGGTCTGGCCACTTACTAGGTGAGTAACTCAGGGCAAGTGGCTGGCCTCCTTGTGCTAACTTCCCTTATTTATGGTGGAAGGTTTATAAGAGCAGCTGTCTCAGAGGGCTGTTGTACAAATTAAGTTTAAGCAAAGAAGTGCTTAGAACAATGCCAGGCTTGCAGAAAGAGCCCCAGTAGTAATAGTGACGACGATGATAATGCAGAATACAAGGCTTACACTCCAACAGGTATTCAATCAAAAATGTTTCTGCTCCATTCCGGTAGGACACTTTTTTATTTATTTTTTTTGTGGGCCCCTCGCCAGTGGTCGGGGATCGAACTGGCGCTGCAGAGGCTGCAGGCAGCCTCGCAACCCAGGCTCAACCACTGTGCCACCAGGGGAGGCCCAGGACATGAACACTTATTGAGTCCAGTAGCAATGTGCCAGGTGCTAGGTCAGAACTGGCAAAGAGAAATAAATGTAAGATATGATCCTTCTGCTCAAGAAGCATCTGGACCATGGAGGGAGGTACTACAGAAGGACAGAATGAGCTACAATATGGCAGGAAACTTTTTATATAGATGTCTCCATTTCGATGAGGTAGGAACAGTTCCCAGCTTCAAAGAAGAGGCAGCAGAAATTCAGAGGTTACAGTCACCTAGTATCACAATGAGGTGCCTAACTGTGAAGCCCTTGCTGCCTACCAATCCATACCAGCTCACAGGGGAAGAGAGGAGCTGCTGTGAGGGCCTGGTATCAGGAAGCCTGGAGACCAGGTCAGGCTTCCCAGGCAGAGGAGAGGTGGCCAGAACATGGGTGGTTAAAGAGAATAAAGAAGGGTAAGGGTCAGCAGGAAGGGGCACCTACAAGTCAGTGGAACTCAGTCCAGGGCTTGAGATAGGCGCTATTGCCCACTTTAAGCCTGCCTCCAGCAGGTCTGGACACCCAGTACTGATTGGTAAATACATCTGTCTGCTAGGGGTTCTGGAAACATCTGAGCCATGGGTATCCCTGAAAGAGAAGGCAGCCCTTTTGGGGTGTGTTCAGTTCTCTCCGTTAACGTTACTAGGCAAAGAGAAGAGGGAAGTCTCCTAAGTTCCTTGAGGTTCAGGAGAGCATCTGCTCATGTTTTTATCTTTAGGACTTAGCCCAGAGTCAGGCACAGAGGCATGAACACTTGTGTCCTGTACAGAAATTTCCAAATGTCTTTTCCTTTTAAGCCTGCAATTCTGCCAAATAATTATTTGAATTAGAATAAAATGGCTACTATTTATGGAACACTATGTCAGACAATGGGCTGGGTGTGTCACACATTATTTGACACAAGTTCTTGCACAGCTTAACAAGAACTATGGTGACTAGAGTTCTTATCAAGAACTCCTTTCCTCTAGGGCCAAAGCTCATCACTTACTCTTTTAATTAAAGCAAAGCGGGTTACAGAAGCTACAGGATAGCTAAAAATTAAAGGAGAATGGGTCTGAGTACTAGCAAAGGGCACCAACTCTGTCAGAAGTCTGACTACATGGAGCCCAAGCCCGCTTAGGCACTCATTAACAGCAAACCACAGGCAAGTCACCTAACTTGTCAAATGAAAATAATACCAGCAACTACCTCCCTAGTCCTATTATAAGGATTAAGTAAGCTAATATGACATAAACTATGTAGAATGGTCTCCAGCACACAGTAAGTACCATATTCCATAAGGGTTCACTGCTCTTATCATCATGAAAATCTGGGTTTCCCTTTGGGGCAGGCTGACAGCAGTATGGAAGAAGCACTTACCCAAATTCTCTGCCTTGTAGGTTATTTTGGTGGGCTGGCAGAAGGGCAGTGAGTAGTATTCATAAGGTAGCTGGGTTCGAGAGCTGGTGAGCTTCACAGCCTAGTGGGAGAAGAGAGATGGTCATGTCTTAATCCAGAAATCAAGATGACTGTTTCAATAATCCTCTCTGATGCCCACATAGCTTTAGTGCATTCAGTAATACCTAATAAGCAAACTAACTGCAGTACTGCAGTAACACACAATTGTAGTATACTACAGACTATGATTCTGAATTATTGCACATTTGTTTTAGCTACTTTATAGATTTTGTTAAAATCACAACCAAATTCAATAGATACTGAGAATCTTCAACATGCTGATATCCTTTGACCCTATAATTTCATTCCCGGGCATCTTTCTTAATGAAATAACTCCAAATATGAGTTATTCACCTGATTCCTAAGTAGAGCGGCCTTCTGCCCCCAGTCTCTCGGGCAGTCAAGTTCTCTTGCCTCAGGCTTTGAACCTGCTGCCCTCTCTGCCTGGCTCTGAGCACATCTGGTCCTTCTTACATTTACGTCTCAGCTGAAATCCCCTCAATCTGGGGATCCTTCCCAAATCATCTTTAAAAGAATTCCTCCATTGTTCTCTATTTCAACACTCCTATGTAGAGATCTGATAAAATGTAAGTATTTTGTTTACCTGTTGCTTTTTAAAATCTGTCTTCCCGATGGAATTTAAGATTTAAGTTCTGCTAGGGCAAGGATCATGTGTGTCTTGCTCACCTCTTTAACCTCAGTGCCTAAAGAGTGAGCACAGAGTAGGTGCTCATTAATTATTTGCTGAATGAGAGAAGGAAAATGGAAAAACAACTAAAAGTCCCCACAATGGGAAACTGGTCAAGAAACCACAGTATGTTCATTTACCCAAATATTACACAATTAAAAATGAGGGTTAAGAAGACCATGAAGAGGACCTCCCTGGTAGCTCAAGGGGTTAATTAAGTACAGCACTATGAAGCTATCCGCAGCCTTTGCAGCACGAGTTCTATCCCCCACCAGCCAGGAAGCTACCCACATGATGCAGTAGACCTCTCCTGTCTCGCCCTCTGCTCCCATCAGCAGTGTGTTTCAGTCAGTCTGTCTATTCTGTTCCCCACTCTCTCTGGTGAATCCTCTCACCCCACCCCCTACCCCGCACCTCTGGCCTGTACCCCGGTTTCTTGTATGCATAAATAAATCAATCTTTGGGAAAAAAAAAAGAAGACCATGAAGAAGAATGTTTAGGAAATGAGGTATAAAGCACACAGAACAGAAGCCTAGAGACAGTCATAGACAACTCCAAAACCATAGACAAAATAGAACCAGTTAAAGTGCTGCACAAAATAAGTTTTAATCTAAATGTAACAAAATTTATCTTTAATATTTAGGAACTTTCCGACCATTCCTCATACACTATAAAAGTAGAATTTGGGCCCACAACCCCTAAAACTTCTGCTTTGGAATTAGGAACTGTTGCAACTTTAGAAGGACAATGGGATATAAAATACTACAGGTTTTGTTAACACCATCCAGCTAGGTTTGGAGCAGCATTCCACATTCAATGATTATATAGGAATTGCAGAAATATCCACACAGGGACCTCCCTGGTGGCACAGGGGTTAAAATCTCAGCATTATCAAGCTATCGCCAGCCACTGTGGCATGAATTTGATCCCTGTCCAAGGAACTAACCCACATGGCAAAGCAGACCTCTCCTGTCTCATCCGTTGCTCCCCTCAGCAATGTATTTCAGTAGATCCACCTTTTCTGCTCTCCACTCTATCACTGATGAATCCTCTCACCACCCCCCCCCACCTCTGGCCTACACCCCAGTTCTCGTATGCATAAATAAAAATAAATCTTAAAAAAAAAAAAAAAAGATATACCCACACAAAGTGGGAAGAATCAACGTCAGTCTCATGTCAGTTCAGGTCAGGGCTTGTCTATAACAAGTACAACTGGGTTGCAGAGCTTTCTAGATGGGAGGTTGCGGGACTGAAGACCTCTATTAAGTATTTCATGAACTGCTTAAAGCAAAATGGTCAAGAAGTTACTGGCCATTAGACTAGCCTGTAATTTTGTGTTACTTCTTAGCATTCTTTTTTCCTGGGAAAACAAAGAAAGAAACAAAGAAATAAAAAACACCTTGCAAAGAGAATGAGTTCCTCCCTTTCTCTTTCTCCTGGCAGGCCTGCAAGCCAGAGTCACCCTGTCCCCTCTGCTTGGTAAAGGCCCTGGGAAGAAAGGTACTGCAGCGGCTAAAAGATGGGGCTCTGCAATGGAAACAACCCAAATGCCCAAAAATAGATGACTGGATCAAGAAGATGTGGTACATATATGCAATGGAATATTACTCAGCAATCAAAAAAAAAATAAACTCATGCAATTTGCAGCAACATGGATGGAGCTGGAAGGGCTCATGCTCAGCGAAATAAGCCAGAAAGAAAAAGTAAAACACTGGATGGTCTCACTCATAGCAGGAATTTAGAAAACCTAAATATGGGACGAGGAAAAAGACTAATTATAATAAAGTAAAAATCAAAATCAACAAGCAACTATAAACCAGAGACACACTATGGGGGCGGGGGGAGGGGGGAAGGAGGGATTAGGGTCAAAATAAGGAGTGTGGGAATTGTATGGGGAATATAACCAAGATGAAAATGCATACATTGTGCAAAAATGAAATGATGTAAAAAATATATAAAATAAAAAAATTAAATAAATAAAACATATTATGGAAAAAAATGAAAATATATCATTAAAAAAAAAAAAAAGATGGGGCTCCAAACTAATCCCGTCTTCCTTACATGTGACCTTGGGCAGGTTGGTTCCCTTCCCCAGGCCTTAGTTTTCTTATCTGTAAAACACACAGTACCTGCCTCAGAGGGCTCTTGGAGGACAGCCTGAACTAAGCAAAGCATAAAGTCTAGCATGTAAATAAGCCTCAATAAATGTTATTTTAATATTGCTTCTGAAAGTTCCAAGTCCTGCTTCCAAGGAAGAGATGCTCACAATAATGCAACACTTGTAATGCTGCATGTGCTCATTACTATAGTTCTCAATGAGGTCACTAAAGGTTGTTTCTCAGACATATTTATTCACCCTGCCATGCTATGCAGTAGGAGCTGGTGATTCAGTGAAGGAGACAGATAAGCCCACTCTTTTCAGAACCTGTATAGAGGTAGTTTTCATTTTTCTACAAATGTATTATTTATATTTTTAACTTTTAAACTGGTTAACCCCCCCCCCCATAATCAGAACATGCTATAGTTGATGCCCCAATTAAGCACAATGTGTAGCTATTTGCAATTCTGCTAATATTGAAAATATGGTGGCAAACAAAGGAACATGTACAGGACAGCATGTCCCAGGGATGGGCCTTTGTGAATTTCTTGTCTTCTGCTTCTCTTTTTAAACACTGTGATGCTCAGGACAGGACAAATTCTTATTTTCATGCAACTTCACTGCTTTGTTTTTGCAGAGCAGTAAAGATGTGGTTCATGTTGACATGGTAATGAAGAAATGAATGTTTATTTTAGGAGCAGAATTTATTTTTATAACTTTGTAATGTTTGCTAGCCCTTTTTACAGAATCACTAGGGATCTGAGGAGAACTTTAAAATTTCAACTATAGGGCCTCCCCTGGCGGCGCAGGCGGTTGAGCGCTGCACTGTGAAGCTGTCTGCAGCCTTTGCAGCGCTGGTACGATTCCGGCCGGCGAGCGTCCCACATGGTGCGCCAGACCTCTTTGTCGCACCTGCTGCTCCCCTCAGCAATGTATTTCTTCAGTCTGCCTGTTCTGTTCCCTGCTCTGTCTCTGGTGAATCCTCTCACCCTCCCGCATATCTGGCCTGTACCCCGGTTCTTGTGCAAATAAATAAATAAATCTTTAAAAAACAAAACAAAACAAAAAACCACTGAAATTCAAAATAAATAAATAAAATTTCAACTATATATTATTTTTTCTATGGGGGATTATGGAGGCAGGAGAATGCCAAGTACCCTTGTATTCTGTAAACACTGTAAACACTGCATAGGAAGAAAAATTAAAAAATACACCCAAGTATTAAGAGTGGTTATATTCTGGGGATAGTAGAGGGGAACCTATCAGCTGGGAGTCCTTCAACAGGCTTACACCACCCCATCTTTCTGGTAGCAGTCTATCTCCAATGACTGGTCCATGGAGGGATGGAGGGAGCCAGTCCTCTTATCTCAGTCTGTAACAATTCTGAAGGGCCATTCCAGTTCCAGAGCTTTCCAGAAATGTTCAACTATTATATCGCAATTCATTGTCTTCCTTGGCCCAGCTCCACTTCCCTCCCTTCCTCCCACAAGCTGACCCCAAGAGCCGCCCCAGTGAGAATCACATACAAGAAGATCCATTCCCCTACCCCCCACCAGTCTAGCTTGTGGCACTGAGAATGTCACCAAAAGTACAATGTAGACATTAATCAAGATGCCCCTTGCCCCTGATCAACCATATTTTATATTGTGACTCCACTCCCTGCCCCCATACTGCCACAACTGATTAACCCACAGATGGGCAACTAGCCTGAAAAGGCGAAGAGGGCTGGTTGGACAGCTTCTCTCTAGACTCTGATTTTAAGCAATGTTTCACAATCCCTAACTGTTCACAAACCAACTCATCCTATCACTTGTCTGCCTCTCATTTTTAGGTAAATATATTTATTTTAGAAATAAACATTTTATCTCCATTAAACATGAAAACCAACAATGATAGTCATGAAATCATGAGTTAAAGTACTAGCTATATTTTCTTACCTACACTGAAAGAAAATAGCCATAAAAATAAAATATATTGATCAGCCACTTAAAATCATCTCATATGCTACCACTCAATTGGGAGAATCCAGCTGGTGGCAGGACATAAAATTGAAAAAACAGTGGAGATAAATAGGTCTTGCATGCACAGACACTATGTGTTATGCAAGGAAGGCTGGTAACAGAGAGGATGGAATAGCTGAAATGGGAGGCAGAGAGGTCATAGAGAAAGAAACAGGATGAGAGAGCGACACGGAAAGACACGGAGACAGAAAGACAGACACACACACACACACCTCAGAGAGGGAGAGAAGGAGGAAGGCAGAGAGAGAGAGAGAGAGAGAGAAAGAGAGACATAAAGAAACAGCAAGAAATGAAGACAGAGCCAGAGACAAAGAGAAAGGAAGGAACAGAGCGAGAACACGCAGGGAGGGCCGCAGAGTCAGGGGGCACAGAGAACAAGTGAAATGCAGAGGCAGTGCTCCTAGAACTGCAGGACTGCTGCTGGCATTTTTATTTCAGCCTTGACAGCAGGCAGGGAAGCCTCTTTTTCCCAGGGTGAGTGCTTTGTTCTCTGCCCCACAGGAGGGAAAAGTCCAGCTCACCAGCGTTTTAGACACTCACGTCCTCTTATCAGACACTAGCCACAGCCTCCATATCACTTTACCTCTGCAGACAGTCCCACTGCCCTTCAAGCTAGATCCCCCAGCCAGGCTGCCCAGCACAGAGGCTCTAACAGTCCAGAAATGAACTTACCTTGATTTCTACAGGATCGTTCTGGTGGAAGTTGGTTGGTGCGACCCCAGGGACATAGAAGGCGCTTGTTTCACTTGTGAGAGACAGAAGCAGCAGGGACCACGGCAGCCAATCCTGCTTAGAAGAAGAGACGCTGTGGTCAGAATGGGAGGAAAGAAGTTAACATTCCTCTGGAACAGATCAAGTTATATCACCATCACCTCTGCTTTAACATACCCACTTTTGTCCTCATTGAGAAACTGGAGGCCTTTGGAAGTGCTGCCTCCCAAATGCCCCCAAGAGCTCTGAAAAGGACAGAGTCTGAAATTCCAGAAATGAGCCCTGAATGAAAGAAGTACAGCTGTCCTCTGAACTCAGGGGCTAGAGGCATTGGCCTCCCTACAACTGACTGCACGTTAACTTTTGATTCCTCCAATTTACAAATAGCCTGTCAGTTTATATACATTTTGTATGTTCTACATATTATATGCTATATTCTTTTTTTTTTAAAGATTTATTTATTTATGCATACAGCAGCTGGGATGCAGGCTAGAGATGCGTGAGGTGAGAGGATTCATCAGAGACAGAGTGGGGAACAGAACAGGCTGACTGACTGAAATACACTGCTGAGGGGAGCAGAAGAGGTCTACCTCGCCATGTGGGTTGCTCCCTGGTGGGCCGGGGATCGAACCTGTGCTGCAGAGGCTGCAGATCACCTCATAGTGCAGTGCTTAACCCCTTGCACCACCAGGGAGGCCTATATGCTATATTCTTTTTTTTTTTTTTAATTTTTTTTAAGATTTATTTATTTATACAAGCACTGGGTACATTCAGAAGTGCGGGAGGGTAAGAGAATTCACCAGAGCCAGAGCAGGGAACAGAACAGGCAGACCGACGAGAAATACACTGCTGAGGGGAGCAGTGGGCAGCAGGAGAGGTCTGTGCGCCATGTGGGACCCTCACTGGTGGCCGGGGATGGAACCGGCGCTGCAGAGGCTGCGGGCAGCTTCACAGCCCAGCGCTCAACCGCTGCGCCACCGGGGAAAGCCCAATATATGCTATATTCTTAAAGTAAAGTAAGCTAGAGAAAAGAAAGTGCTAAGACAATCTAAGTGGATTATCATAAAGGCCCTTATCCTGTTATCATCATGCAGAGTAGGCTGAGGAGGAAGAGAAGGGATTCAAAAATATCCATGTACAAGTGGACCAGTGCAGTCCAAACCTTGTGGTTCATGAGTCAACTGTAATTAACATTAAATGTCACTTCCATAGAGAAGCTTTCAGTGACTCTCCTATCTATTATAAAACAGCATCCTCAGGGCTCCCATCTCCCATTACCCACCCCCCAATTTACGTAATTCATTTCTCTGCATGGACTTATTTACTGAACATGTACAATATGCATTGCTTTGTGTATCATTTGACCCCTTCATTCGAATGTAGTGTTTGTGGCAGCAAGGGCTGTGTTCCCAAAGCCTGGAAAAGGGCAGGTACCCAGTAAATAATGTGCCTACAGGACAGTCATATGGGAACAGAAGGCAAGAAAGATCAATTACTGGCCTCAAAAAATTCACTCCATCAAAGCTTCTATTTCCCTTCATTAATTACAACACTTCGTACCCTCAAAGAATCATCCAGTTCTTCTGGTCTGACCAAAGAATTTTGTTGTCCACACACCTAGATCACCAACTCGATTATGCTTCTGCATCTTGGGAATGTTTTGGACACTCACGTCCTCCTGTCAGACACTGCCCACCGCCTCCGTATCACTTTACCTCTGCAGACAGTCCCACTGCCCTTCAAGTTAGAGTCCCCCAAACAAACCCCAAATACGGATGATTCTTTCTGGAGTTCAGTTTTATAGGGAGTCAGACTCATTCAGCGGGCTTGCCCAAAATGTCAATTTATCTGATTTTTACTTAAACAAGTTGAGAAAAAAATGGCTTTAAAAGTTTAAGGGTCTGAGCTTGGCACATTTTTTTTTTTTTTTAAGATTTATTTATTTATTTATACAAGCACTGGGTAAAGTCAGAAGCGCGGGGGAGTGAGAGAATTCACCAGAGCCAGAGCGGGGAGCAGAGCAGGCAGAAGGACCGAAGGACACTGCTGAGGGGAGCAGCGGGCGGCAGGAGAGGTCTGCGCGCCATGTGGGACCCTCCTCTGGTGGCCGGGGAGCAGCCGGGGACCGAACCGGTGCTGCAGAGGCTGCGGACAGCTTCGCAACCCAGCGCTCAACCGCTGCGCCACCGGGGAGGCCCCTGGCACACTTTTTATAGATACATAGGTCAAAGTCTTAAAAGCAATATATTCACAGAAAGTTTTATCACCCGTTTGTTGTAACTGTTTATAAGTATCTGCCAGCTGATTTTTAAAAAATGAAATAATAACCTGAGCCCAATAAAAACAATGAAAAGTGGCTAAGACAGCTGTAGTGTATTTGGTAGTAAAGTGGTGAGCAGAATTAAGGGTTAGGTAGGATTTTTAAAAGCAATGACAGGGCTAGAGGGTAGAAACTGACTCATGGGGGAGGACTCTGTCCTTTACTTTCAAAAACATTAAAATATAAATTCAGATCTATAGGAGAGTTGTAAAGACAATATGAGAGTTCCCATATACTCTTCCCCTAGTTTTCCTTTCATGTTAACATATAACTATGGGGAAGTAAGGCTTTCAAAAATAACTAACATTTGGCCTTCCAGGGGCACAAGAGGTTAAGTCTCAGCAATATGAGGCTGTTGGTGGCCGCTGCACCTCTGGCCTGCACCCCAGCTCTTGTATGCATAAATAAATGGAAAATAAATCTTAAAAAAATGTTTAAAAAATAACATTTAAAAATTTCTGATAAAGTAAAACATATACAGTAAATAATTCAATCAGTACAAGCGGGCATACCATTACACATAAATACCCCCTCCCACTTTAGTTTCCCATATACAGCTATCACCAGCTCCTTGAAAATCTCTCTAGAGACATATCTGTAGACAGGCACAAGGGGAAAGGCTTAGTAGTATGGGTTTGCTTTGAATACAATAGATTTTTCTTCTTTCTGAGTAGTGATGGAAAGTGTACCAACTGTAGACTGATCACAGCAACCGATTTCCTCTCAACCAGACAATTTCCTCCATGTGACCAACAAGTCGTCAGAAGATTCTGGCCCTTCACTCTTTGAAACCTTTGGTAAACCTCATTTGTTGGCCCATGGAATGTGAGTGCTTTGTGTGAGGAAAGTAAACCCAGTCCCCTTTTTTCCTATAATTCCTCTTTGTACATGAATTCCTATAATTCCTCACTGTACAATGCTAGTTAGACAAATACATTGGTGGCAAAATTGCCACCCGAAAATTGTTTGAAGGAAGAAAACCCTCAACCTTGAATTTTTGAAAAATGATACAGAAAACAACCCTCACACAAATACTCAATTTATGTTAGAGGAAGGATCAAGACAAGAGAAATAGCAAAGGATAGTTCTATAATATGCTAGAATATTGGAATAATTTAAGTTGGCAAACAAAAGCAATTCAGAAGTTCAACTTAGGGTACTCCAAGATGACAATGTTAAATATTAAATGCCACTGTGCTGGTGCTCTCCTATGGCTACAGGGATTACGTAAATGGAAATACGTTGGGGAAGGGCAATTTGGCACACTCTATCAAAAGTCCTCCGAAAGAACATTCTCTGACCCTCAATCTGGACATATTAAGAAAAATATGGCAAGTATGCCAAAATGTACACAAAAGGATGTTCACCATAGCATTATTTAAAATAGTGAAATAAAGCATCGCTTACAAAAAGTTCAACAAGCAGGGGATAGAACAAGGCACAAACTCCACACCCCCTTCCCTTAAGTTATCTTTGAGAAAATGTTTATAGAGGGAAAAAAGGGCGATCTGAATGACAGACCTTTCCCTTTTTAAGTATATCTGCATTTTCTAATTTTTCTTAAGGGATTATATAGTATTTATAACACTTACGAAAAACAATACAGCAGACAAAAGAAAACATCACTCTTCTGAACACCTTGGTTAATCTGAATTTGGTACAGAAGGACCTCTGCCTGCTAACCCCAAAAAGTCTTTCCAGTAGTACCTCCCATTTCTTCTTTCAAGCTTTTGTAAGCAGACTTGCTTAGGTGAGGCTGCCTTCAAGCTTTTGCTCAGACTGTTTCTGACACCTGTCCTTGCCTTATTCAAGTTCTAACTACCCTTGGAGGTCCAGTTGAAATGTTTCTTCAAGAACCCTTCAGATCCCCACAGGGAAAATGCCATTTCTTCCTCACTTTTCAAGTACTCATAAATATCTTTAGAATGACAATAGAGCCAAGAGAATGGAAACATTACCCAGTAACCAAATGAACTGTTACACTTACATATGTTCAAAGATTTCCATTTAAATCATTTGACAAATATTAAAATCTGTACTTATTTTAAGGTCCTCCTACTACAGTATTTTTCATGTGAATTATGGTTAAGCATCTGCCATCTCTTCACCTGCACTAATCATTTGTTTAGCTTTGTAAATGGGAGTACTCAATAAATCTTTATCAAATTAATAGTTGTACCAACCAATCTCTGAATATGAAACCATTTATATACAGGCTGAATATTATGGTTTTCAATCTTTGGTGTATCCCCTTAATAATTTTTTTAACCCTCAAATTTAATAATTTCTTGAAACCTCCCACCTTTTCACCTGTCTAAGGAGCTGGTTTGAAAATCCCTGAGACCATCTATTATTCCTTTATCATATCTGTAAGTCTAGAATAGTGGTTCTTAACCCTGATGCATATTAGGATAACCTAGGGATAAATGAATGGATTAAATTCCCAGCCAAAAGGCTTGGAATGGCTGAATGGATTAAAAAAACAAAAAACAAAATCCAGTGATGCTGTCTACAAGAGATTCACTTTAGATCTAAAGACACACATAAGCTGAAAGTGAAGGGATAGAAAAGATATCCCATAAAAATGGTAACCAAAAGAAAGAAAATGGCTATCCTTAGATCAGAGAGATTTAAATAAAAACTATGTCTGAATGAAAGAAAAAAAATCCACACGATCATTTACATAGATAGAAAAAGCACTTGGCAAAGTTGATCATCCATTTATGATTTAGCTCAACAAAATAAAGGCCATATA